CACAACTCGGCGGGGTCTCGGCCAGGCTGCTGCATGGGGGTCTGTGAAGGAGCTCACCTGGGCTGAGGGTGTGGGTGGGACAGGTCCTGCTTTCCCAGATCCTGTCAGGATGTCCTGTCGGGACGTGCAGGCTGTGTCTGGTTAAATTCCCTGGAGGTAATTGAAGGTGTCGAGAAAGGCCCTTCGGCTGTGCTGGGGTGCCTCAGGGAAGGAAGGACCAGATCCTCTCTCTGAGTGATAGAAAGATGCTGGGTGCCGATGTCCCAGGGGCGCTTGGGATCTCAGCCTTCGCTTTTAGTTAGCGCGTGGTGCTTCTGCCAGACCTTTGATTCAGAGCCCTTAAGATATAGAGGCTGCAGAAATTATGAGTTAACCTTTCTGCCTTTTTGGTTTGTTTATTTGTTTTTTGGTTTTTTTCTTTTTTTTTGTGTTTTTTTTTTTTTTTTCCTTTTCAAGCAAAGCTGCTTGTGAAAGTGACCCTAAGGGTTGTCTGATCAACATTCACGCAGTCCTCATGGCACGGCAGAGCACACATGCATGGTTAATTAGGAATAGCTATTCAATATGGAGGAGGGCAGTGTGTGGAAGGTATATCCTGACACCCACTGCCTGTTGTGTCTTGCTCAAGCTGATGACAGTGCCTAAAAGAAGCGGGCTTGATTCTTGCCCACTTTCTGCCTTTGGGTAATGGGATGAAGACAAGGGACTCCTATTTGCTTGACAAATGTCTTGCTCCTGATTTCACTGCTGAACTATTTAAAGTCAAATTGTTTTCTTGTGGTTTATCCATGCCCAGCTGTCAGCATTTTCTGAACCTGGGTGCTGAAAGTGCAGTTGTTTCATTTCCCCTTTTAAGATTCTTTGTGCTGCAGTGTTTGCTTTTCAGATGCAGAGCAGGGATGTGTGCCTGTAAGAACATCAATGTTTTCAATGTTGTTTTTTTTTTTTCTTGGAAGAAATGTCATGTCTGTGGTTCTCTCTCTTCCCCCAGCCATATCCGGGCAGCCCGAGATTGCAAGATTGCAGTTTGGTCCAGCAGAGAGACTTTAAGGTTCCAGTCCTGCAGACCAAGTTGAAGCAGTGAGCTGTGATTGCAGGTTAAGTGGGAGCAGAGAAAGCTCTGTGAGAAAAGAAAGATGATCCTAGGCAATATATTGGGAAGGATACACTGGGATAGGGGGTGGTGGCAGGTGAGGAGGCTGCTGCTGCAGTGAAGGGCTTGGACCAGGACTCTCTGAGTGCACACTCCTCTGTGCCACTCATTTCCAGTGTGACATCTCAGGGAGCAAATCACTGGCCTTGGTGTCTAAAATGGGAATAATTGTGGGCTTTTGCTGTCTCAAGAAGATTTGCAAAAGTCTCTCCTTACCTTAGGTCCCTGCAGGTTGCAGGAGAGGTCACCTGAGGTTCAGGGATGAGGGCAGGATGAGAGTTGAAAAGGAAGAGAACATTGGGAACAGGTGAAGAGAGAAGGGCAGAGTGAATAGGAGGAGAGGGAAAGACTGGTGCAGCTTCAGAAACCATGAAAGGGACTGTTCAAACAGCTATAGGTTACCTCACATGGGGCTTATTGCACATTTTTAGTGCTGAGCTTGCTGCTGGATGCTCCTGCCTGCCAGGGAGAGGTGTGGGCTGCCTCTCCCATGGGGAGCAAAGGGAAGGGAGCAAAGCCTGGAGGATGTGGGCTGATCTGCTGCAGTGGTGGGGAGAGCGTCCAGCATCCTCCCTGCAATTTCCTGAGCTGGGGCAGGTCCAGGTACTTAGGGAGAGAACTTCTGCTCTTGCTGTATTATTTGTTGCTTCCAGTGAGGAACCACTGGTATTAATAGTGGTGACTGCCTAAACCAGAAGAGCCAGTGGCCCTTCAGTTTTGGCACCACAGGGCTGCAGGAGTGGGTTTTGCCTGGCCAAGACACTGAGAGTGGCCACAGCTTTGTCAGAGAGAGCCTCCCCAGTGTGGTCTTGGCTCTTAGAGGAGGTTTAATGTGGTGTCCTGTCTCTGAAAATATTTCAATAGACTTAAAAAGTAATAATCCCTCTGGATGCAGTGTAGAGGCTGCTTGCACAGGCTTGGCCCCTGTTTGACAGCTGGAAGTTGTTCTCTTTTCCCCTCTGTCCCTTGTGTTTGCTTGAAGGGAAATGCTGTATGGCTTCCTACTGCAGCTCACCAAACACCCTACAAACTGCAATTTATGGTTGTAGCAGCTTGAGACACTGGTAAACAAAGGAAATTAGTTCCTCCAACTAAGGGATGCTGGCAGTGAAGTGGTGAACACCACAGAAATGCCTTCTATGCTGCCTTACCTCCTACTTTGCCTCTCAGGGCAAATGATTTCCACAGGTCTCAACAGAGTCGAAAGACAATCCCTGTGCCAGAGAGGGCCACTTCAGTGGGGTGACAAGAGCCAAGTCATGGGTCCTGCATGTCCATTCCTTGCACCTCACCCTCTGGGCCTCTTTGCTGCTCCTCTGGGGCTTTGGTGGTTAATACCTGAAGAAGAGGACCTCTTTCTGTGCAGGAGGAGAAAGTCCTCAGGCTGAAGAGGTTGGTGAGGGAAAACTGTCCTGAGAAACAGTGTGCTCTGCCAGAGTCTCTAACAGCTCACAGGCCTTGGGTGTTTTCCCCAGGACGAGTTGCATTTACCAAAGGAAATGCAGCTCTGGGAACAGGGTACATCTCTCCAAAAGTGTAGAGCTGCAAAGTGCAGTGAAGAAAGGAGCTTATGCATCCAAAAGGTGAATAGGAGAGGGGTGAAAGGGATAAGAGAGATGAAGGACAGAGTAAACAGGTAGGAGGAGCCCTGCTTACACCCCATGAGAAGCTCTGTAGCTTGAGTGTGTTTCTGTTTGATGGGGAAAAACCAGTGGCAGGGTAGAAAAGGCAGGGGAACCTGGGATTTTTCTGGCCTTGCAGGCGTATGTACTCTCTCATCCATAAACTCCAGGAGAAGGAGACGATATGATCAGGAATAACATTCTGCCAAGTCTGTTCCCCTGGGCTTGTCTGTTTTTCCTTACCTTCAAAGCTATTTGTAAAGCAACATTTGAAGTTTCACCTCCCTGTTAAGTGTTCTTTGCCACGCCCAACACTTACATTGTTTTCCTGATAATGGGACAAACCTTTGGGGCAGACTTCCTTCCCCCTTCTGATATAATGTGTGTCTTGGCTTTGCTTGCTGGTGCACTTTGGAAATCATTGAAGGCATTTGTAATTTTTGGAACTGAGGAGCAAATAAAACACCTTGATCAGTTTATTAATACCCTGTCAAGACCTCTGTACATTATGGGAGGAGAAGCACTCAATCTCCTTGTTGCTGCTTCATTAGATTGGGGTGGTTGAGGTGGAGGACAATCACTGGACAGCTGTCTGCTCAGTCATTCTGACTTCCTGGGCTTTGCCATGGCATCAGCCTGCATTTCTGTATGGCTTGCATAGCAAGGAGATGGTTTCAGAGACTCTTTCCTCATGGCACAGCTAAAGCAGGGAGAGCTTTGCTCTCTCTTTTTTTTTTTTTTGAGAGAATAGCCCACCTCATTTTCCAGCAACTCTAGTTTGGGGGTTGGCTGGTTGACTTTGAGGTAAGTGCCCTTCTCACAAGCATCCCAAACCAAAGAATTCTCAAGGGGAAGAGATGTCCCTGTGGTCGTGGTGGTGTTGTGAGACTGTGAATTTGGTCTGTGTTGAGACTGCTAGAGATTTCCCTTGTGTCTCAGAGGCCTGGTGAAAGTGGCTCCAGTCTTGAGTATTTCTGTGTTAAGGAAGCTTTGCTGTCTGACCACCCAGAGGCCACTCTGTCAGTCACACTCCCACCACCCCAGGCTGGGATAGAGGCCCTTTCACAGTGGGTGGTTCCATAAAGCTGATGTGTGCCTTGCTTGACTCCCCACACACCCCACATTTGCAGTCAGACAGGTTTTCCTCTCTGGCTGGATCTCAGGATTCCCACAGCAGAGTCCAGAAGCCTGCATGGACCCTTTAAGTAATTTAATCATGGTGCAGTAACACCATAACAGCTTGAATTGATGCCTTCAGGGGGACTCCCTGCACTGAGGAATCCCTGGCCTTTTATACCCTCCCTGTCTATGTGCCCCTTCTAGTTGTGATATTTAGTCTGGGGCCTTCTGACTGCTTATTTGGCTTCTGCAGAGTCTCTGGGTGACCAGCCACCCTTGTGCCACAGGTCTCCATGCCCTTTGCTGGGCAAAGGGTGGATGCCAGGTCATGGCCCCTTGCACATGGCTCCAGCTGCGGCTGCTCTCCAAGCTGCCCCTTGTATTCCTCAGCATCTGCACTTGGAGAGAGTAAGGCATCAGCCCTGCACACACTGGGAGGGCTCACTGGGAGCTGGTTGTCACCTGGCTTGTGCAGCCCCTGGGGTCAGGAGGAGCTGGGGTGGCTGTGCCTTGCAGTGAGTGTTCCCTAGCAGAATGGGATCCCTGGGGCAAGGAACACAGCACCTGCACAGTGCAGGTCTCCTCAGCTCACCCTGGCTGCTCCTGCCTGGTTTCAGTGCCTGCTGCCCCAGCTTCTCCTGTCTGAGCTGGATGTTTCCTCTGCCTTACCCAGCTCCTCTCTCTGCCTCCTTTACCTGTTTGCAGGCTGAGGGTCACGACTGCCCAAGCCCTGCTCGTGGTATGAGTGGGACCTCATGGAAATCGGTGTGATCTGGCACAGGTCCATGGGTCAAAGCCTGCAGAGCACTCCTGTAGTCCCTTGGTGGCAAACCAGATTAATTTTCCTTTTCTAGCACCCAGGAGTGTGGTCTGGAAGCAGGGTGTGCCTGGTTCGTGAGCACCAAATGCGAGACAGGCAGCCACAGCCCACAGGAGTTGAGAGTCGGCGTCTCTGGCTGTAAACAGCAGCTCAGCACTGGTTGCTAAATGGCCTGTAAGTACTTACACCCATGTGGGACTGGGGGTGAAGGTTGTGGGGCAGCAAGAGGCACAAAACCAAGGGCACCTTCTGAAGTATGGTGGGATGCACTGGCCTCAGGGCCCAGCAGTGCTGCAGGAATCTCTCTGGGTCAGACACTGTGGATATCAATATGTCCTTTACTGCCCCTGCTTTTTGGTGAGTAGAAGGTTTCATTCCTTTGTTGCACTTGGCCCATCTCTGATTGGTTTATGTTGGCCAGAGCATTTCATTAGCACACTGAATGCAGTGTATGAAATGAGACAAGAAACATGTACTGATGTTGCCATGGGTGAAAACATTGCCTCTCAACGTTGTTGCAGGATTCCTGAAGCATCTCTCCTGCTTCCCCCACGCACAACCCAGAGATGTCTTTACCTTTTCCCATTCCTCTTGTATAAATGAAATGAAAATGGCATTTCTGCACATCTGTGAGATGGTAGGTGGGTACCTGGAGCAAGCAGAATGTCCTACCCTGCTGACAGAGGGGATCACTTCTTTTCTTGTTTCCCCACCATTTTGTTATGTATTTACAAGCCTCTGTCACATCTTATCTCTCTCATTGTGCACTCACACTGGAAACCTTGAGATAAACCTGAAAACGCCCTCCTTTATTATGTTGGCATTTGTGACTTGTGGGTGGTAGGTTATGTAATGTGCTGGTTTGTATCCACTCAGTTACAGTGATTAGCTATCAAGTGACTGGGGTTATTTTTGCTTTTAAAAGCAACAGAGATCTATAGTGGCCCCCCCCCAAAAACACAGAATGTGTTTGTTTCCCTTTGATTGTTGCTGACTGGCAGCAATTCTTTATGACTTGCTCTGCGTTTTGAACAGTGTCCTCCTTCTCACAGAGCTCCTGCCTTTGTACCTATTCTCTGAAATAACCCAATGGCCTGGTGCTGTGAAATGCAGGAGTGCTGCTCTGGCTTATTATGCATTTCAAATGCATCTGCATGCTTTAGTCTTAAAAAAGATGTATGATTCTCTTAATGTGGTAATTTTGTCCTTCCTTACATTCATGTTCTCTGGTGAAAGGAACTTCAGGAGGAGCCTGTAACTTTGCTTGGCTGATGGAATTAAGATGTCCATATTAAATGAACCTTGAGCAAGCAGCAGTATATGTTTGGTGAGCTGCCTGCTGTAATTGAAGTGTGTACATTAGGGGAGCGGAAGCTTAATTGGTTGAGGATGTATAGCGGGGCAATGGTAAAAAAAGCAGAGCAAGCAGCTGACAGTCTAAGCAGATTTAGACATAAAAATGGAACTGGAGATGAGTAAGCTTGCATTGAGAGAAATTCTCAAGGCACACACCGGGGCAGTGCTAATGTGAAACTCTTTTCAGCTCTGCAGCCTGACTCAGATGGCAGCAGGAGCACACCTCAACAGGGGTTTTGCAGTGCTGGTGTGAGAGGTGTGTCAAGAGGGACTGGAAAACCACATGTGAGCTTTGGAGAAGGTGGGCTGGGTCAGCTGTGATCACTGAAAACGTTTTGGTTGGTTTTGTGAATGCATTGCACCATGAGGGCTTTCTGTGCCTGCCTGTGCAAGCCTCAGTGATGGAAGATCAATGGCTATGGGAAATGACCAACTGCCTCTTGGATGAGCATGGTTATTTGGAAGAACATGGGCTGGCAGAGGTTGCTGTTGTTGCCAGCTGGAATTGACTGCCCAGATTTGGCATCACTGGATGTGGCAGCAATGCAGAACAGAGCTGTGGAGAGGAAGTTTGGCTTGATGTCATCCCTGTGGAGCAATTAACTGTCAAAGAGTTTGTTTCTACATTTCCCATAAAGAATTTTGGTACTTTTTCCTATCACTCTTGGCACTTTACTTTGGCTAAACTGGTGTGGTGCTGCAGGAGAGGATAATATTTGGGTTCCTTGTTCTCTTGTTCCTGTCTGCTTTCAGAGGTGCACAGAGGTCTCCCAGCTTGAAGATACAAACACTGGGGACATTACTGAAGGCTGACCCAAAGGCAGCTGCTCAGAATGATGTGTGCTGCACACTAGTGCAAAGCTAGACAGGTTTGGCACATGTTCAGGGTTTCTCCTTTGGAAGAAATTGAGATTACATGTGATTTTGTTCCTGGCACCTGACTAACACAGCAGGGAATAAGTGAGGAATGTGCAGGAGCTGAGCCATGTTTTTAAACATCCTCTGCCCATGTGGGGAGGCTGAAACATATCCAAGCCATGGCCAGCATTAAAAGGTGTTGCTGTTTGGGGACATGGAGGAAAGGGACCCTTCTTTCCTGTTTTTGGTATTTCATCTGTCAGATGCAGGTAGCTTCTTTCTTTTTAACTGGCTGCAATTAGGGTCTCAGCTATGGAGCTGGCTTCCCATCAGGACACTGTGCTCTGCACTGATTGCTCATTTAATATGCAATGATTTCAGATGTCATTTTCTGTTAGTGGCTGATGGAAGGGGACTCAGTCTGGCACAGTGAATATTAAACAGAGGGCTGTTTTCCAAGGAGATGGGTCTGTAGCCATGTTGCTCTGACTCTGAGGAAGTTGGGCACTAGCCTTGGCCTCGCTCCATTAGAGCTCAGCACAAAACAGTGGTTATCTCGACAGAATTCTCACATTTCCCCACTTCTGGTGTGGAGTCCATGTCCCTGTGTGCTGCCTTGCTGCTCTGCCTGGGGGAAAGCCCTTGCCAGCTCCCTCTGTGCACAACAGGCAATGCTGAAATAGCTTGTGAAGGCTGCTGCTTCCATGCTGGGAGGTAGAGGAGCTGTAGGAACCCATTATGAGGACAGGTCTTATGGCTACTGTTTGCTTTTATTGTGTAATGAAACTTCTGTGCCTTTCCAAGGGTGAAGGGTAAATAATAAGATGTGCCAGCCCCGATATGAAAGAATTGTGTTACCTTGGCTCAGTCCAGCCACCACCAGAGACCAGAGGAGAGTCAGGCACAGCAGTAATTACCTTGCAGGGCAGACAGGGGCTGGAACAGGAGGTGGTGTTACCTGCCTGCTCCCTTCAGCCAAGGCAGGAGGGGGGAATCTGGCCCCGGTTATCAGTCTCCCTTGTGGGGGTGCTGGCACTTGGGCACTGTGCTGCCAGAGGCTGTCAGGGACGTGGTTCTGAAGCAGGTGGGGCAGCTGCCACATGGAAGTGGTCCTTGAGATTGCTGTCGTGGGTCTCCCAGTGTCACAGCACCAGCCAACACCAGCTAAGGAATGCTGCTGCAGTGCTGCTGAGCAGCAGGAGGAAAAGGCAAGGGCAGCACCCCATGGAATAGCTGCAAGCACGACAGCAGGAGCTGTGCGGGTTATAGAAATGTGAGATGCTGTGTCTCCTGTGCTGGAGGAGAGGAATAAAAGTGAGATGGGAAATCTAGTCCTTCTTGCTGATAATTTCTTCTGATCTGTTCACTGTGCTAAAGATCTGTATGCACACTGGAGCTGCCTGCCTTTTAAATCAGCATACTTAATACCTGCATCATTTCATGCTCCTTGTCTGCAGTTCTCTCCACTCCCAGGTCAGAGAAGAGATCATATCTGCCTGCTTTTCTGTCTTTTAAGGTTTGGAATTCAGCCTTACTCCAGGCTGTCTGTACAAACAGCAGCAAGACGTGGTCTCATGGCTTTGTGCCAGTGAGGTGTGATCTGGGCACTGCCAGGGTGTTGTTTTGTACCCCTGCCATTTGCAGGGAGCACAAGATAGCTGACCTGTAGAGGTGAGAGTACCATGCCTTCTACAGAGTGTGGGGAGCCTCACTGCAGCTCTTCAGTCCCTGTCCCAGGGAGGCAGGGCAGGAGTTGGTGCCTGGGGCCCTGAGCAGTCCAGCCAGCATGTCCTTGGCAGCTTGGGGTGCCTTTGGGGAGCTGGGGGCTGCTGTGACATGATGAGGGTGCTGACTCTCTTCCGGGTCTTCAGAGCAGGGAGCAGACCATGGCTCTGTGCTGCAGGTGTAGGAAGGCCAGGGGAGTTGAGAGGGGGAGGATGACAATGTGGGTCCTTTCTTCTGTAGGGCAGAGGGATGGGTCATGGCTTTAGGACCTGGACGAGGTAATTGAGCTGCAAATGCAAGCAGGCTCCAGTGAGAGGCTGTCATCTCTAAGCTGTCCTGGCACCCCAGCGTGCCTCACTTTGTCCCTCACGCCATGTGGATGCTGATGGGGAATGCCTGCCCCTGCAGCAGGGAGGGGGCAGAGCACAGGGGCACAGGCGCTGCTGCCCCGGTGGAAGTAAAGCTGGAGCTGAGAGCCTGGTGTTGTTCCCCTCTCTCTTTGTGTCTCTTGGCTGTGCTAGTGCCTGGAGGAACATTTATGGAGGAGGACAGAGCATGAGAAAATACTTGATCCATTATCAAAGGACTCTCATGGAGACGTAGGGCTCTCTGTGTCCTCAGCACAGCAGCGCTCCTGAATTGCACATATTACAGGAACAGCCGCGGCACTCCAGATGCTCGTCCAGCATGATCTTGCCTGGAGGACAAACGCTGTTCCTCGGGAGGCGCTGTCCGCAGCATCCTCACGCTACATGCAGGATTTCACCGTGCCTGCATGTCAAGGGCTGATGCTGCTGGCAGCCTCATCCCGGCTCCCGACAGCGCTGCGAGCCAGACTGGAGCTCTGCTCCGCTCGAGATGTGGATCCAGACATTATTTTTAGCTGCTTGCTGTGGCCAGGATGGGAGCTGGTCATGCCCTTAGTGGAGATGATGCCAGCACGGGCATCCCTCTCTCTCCATGCTGCAGCTGAGGCAGTGTGTGGAATCGATAATGATCCCCGGTAGGAGGCTGCCTTGCCTTGTGCGTGTGGGAAGTAGCAGGGAATCAGATCTGCAGGTCTTTTGGTCACCTCGCACAAAATCCTTGAGAGAAGTGCTTTGAAAACCACTCAAATCCTGTAGGTGTGGTAGAGAAGTCTCCCGCTGCAGGGCTCAGTGCCTGGTTGTTCCAAACCTCGTGGAGGATGCTGCCTGCGGGCACAGCTTAACCCCTTGTGGCCATGAGCAGCTCGGTACCTCGGCACTGCTGTGGGATGCCCTTGCTGCCCTCAGAAGAGGGGGCTGAGGAGGGTGGGTGCCTCAGCCCCCTGTTGTTACTTTGTTCTTTGTTTCTAGCAGGTATGGATGGGAAGAAATGCAGCGTGTGGATGTTTTTACCTCTTGTCTTCACCCTGTTTACATCAGCTGGATTATGGATAGTGTAAGTTATCTCCTGCTGCTTATCTGGGAGGCTGCTTCTCATTAAGGAGAATCTTTTGGGGATGCTCTGCCCTTGAGCTGCTGTGGGGCTGGGAAGGCATGTGGTAGGGGCAGGGGTCAGTCTGTGCCACTTCATGGCTTGAAGCATCACATTTTTATCCCTGAGTTTCTGTGCTCCCCAGGCCAAGCTGCTGACCTTGCTTTCTTCCTGGTATGTGCTACTGGGAGCTGCCTTAAAAGAGACAGCCAAAAATTTTCCTTTAATGACATTTTCTTTGAATGACTCAGCAGAGCTCTTGGAGAAACACTTAAGCCCTGCTTTGGGGTAGAAATTCAAAATTGCAGCATCCAGCACCACACTGAGAATCTGCCGGCAGCTTAATGCTGACACCTCACTTTCTCCCTCATGCTTCTTACCAAAATGCACATAAGACATGCACCTCCCTGAGCTGGGCTCTCTCCAAGCATGCAGGCAGATGACTGCAGCATGAATTTGGGAGTGAAAAATGTGTGATCTGCAGCTGTGCTCAGGCTGAGGAGCAGTTGTGTTATAGGATGTGGCTTTGGCCATGGTCTGTGGACGCTGTTTTTCAGCAGCAGGGGCAGCTTAAGCCTTTTGTCTGACCTCTACTGCTTGCTGTTTTTCTCATCCCATCCCCTCTCTATTAAAACAGCTTTTGTGGATGGAGTACCATAGTAAAACTGATGAATCAAAATGACTCAAAGTAAAAAGGAAAACATTCCCCTGGCTGGTTGTTTTTAAAGCAGCTCAGTTCAGTGACCCTGTTTGTCTACTCAACCATGCAAAACAGACACAACACAAAGGAAGGCATGTGGACTGAGAAATAATAAAACTGCCTGCTTGGGCAGAGGAAAACACAGGATCCTCCAGCAGATCCTGTCAGTAGCCTTGAAACACTTAATGTTGTTTGAGTGATATTTAGAATGGAAGCTAGGATGAAGTTTTACACTATTTCTTTATTTCTTTTCCCTTTTTCTTGACAGGTACTTTATAGCAGTGGAAGATAACAAAATTCTCCCACTAAGTGTACCAGATAGGTAAGAGCTGTTTGTGGGCTTTATATTCAATCACTTGTTTCTTTGAAATAATGAAAGAATAACAGCAAAATGGGAAAGAAAATCTTGAATCTTTATTCCTGTTCCTGTGTCTCTTAGGAAACCTGGTCCCAAAAGACCACCTTATATAAGGTAAATGAATTATTTTCTTCCAAGTACTGCTCTGGTTCATGTGTCTCTGTTTATGTGTCTCTGCCATCCTGGAGTTACAATGATACACTTTATATTTTCAAGTATTGCAGGTGATGCACCTCCTGCAAGCTGTGTGTTTAGTCAAGTCATGAACATGGCAGCATTTCTAGGTAGGAACCACAACTGGAGTTTCTTTCTTTCTTTTGTTTTGTTTGTTTTAAGAGTCACTGAAACTTAAGTAATATCCTGTACATATTCTTCTTGAATGTGATGATGTGACACCTTTTGAACTGTATGTTTCACTGCTGCTTCTTTCTATTGCAAAGAAAGAAATGTGACAGGGGAAATGCAACCTCCAGACTGCAAATCTGTGTCGTGGGAGGCGTGATGGTAGGTGACTGTCTTGGCCTTGGTGATCGTGAAATGGTTGAGTTTAGAACTTCTGCTGTAATGAGAAAAAAGGAATTTAGGGAATCAAAGCAGAATTGATCTCCTAAATTTCAAGAAAGCAAGCTTTAGGCTCTTCAGGGAGGTACTTAGCAGATTATCTCAGGAATCTGCTTTTGAGGGCTTAGGTGTCCATGAGTGCTGGTCAGTGTTTAAGAACCACCTTTTAGAAGGACAGGAGCAGGCAACCCAGCTGGGATTGTGCTCAAAGAGGGGGGCAGAAGCCCAGCTTGGCTTAAGAGGAGAAAGCCATTATGTGGTCTGTGGAAGAGAGGTTAGGCTTTGCAGGAAGATTACAGAGCTGTGGTTTGTATATGCAGGGAGAAGACAGGAAAGGCCAAAGCTCAATTTGATTTAAAACTGGCCAGAGTTGTCTCAGACAACAAGAAGAGTATTTTAAGTATGTCAGTGGCAGAAGGAGGCCTAAAGAAAATATTGGACGGATACTTGTTAAAGTCTGTAACCTGACTAATAGGGATGAAGAAGAAGAGAAGGCGTTCAATGCTTTTTCTGCCTCAGTCTTTAATAAAATGTTGATTTTATTAAAGACTGGACACACTTGTCCAGTTCTTGGGGTTGAAGGACTACAAGCCTGAGAGCAGTGGCTGTCCATTTGTGAGCACTGGGATTGTCAGGGGCCAGATGTGTCAGCTGAATGCTCACAAGTCCCTTGGTCCTGGATGGGATTCATCCCAGAATACTGAAGGAGTTAATGGATGTTAGGGCAGGACCCCTCTCTATCATTTCCCAAATGTCTTGGGATTCTGGGGAGGGCCCTGCTGACTGGAAGCTGGCCAGTGTTATTCCAACCTACAAGAAGGGTATGAAGAAACACTCTGAGACCTACAGACCTGTTGGTCTAACCTCAGTTCCTGGAAAAATGATGGACAAGATGATATGGACTCATTTAAAGAGTGATGCGATCACCAGGCACAGTCAGCATGGGCTCACAAAGGGAGAGTCGTGTTTAAGAAGCTCAGTATCCTTCCGTGATAGGGCCACACACCTGGTGGATGAAGGGGAGGTGTTGGATGTAGCTTTTGTGGATTTTAATAAGGCTTTTGACACTGTCCCTCACAGCAGCCCTCTGGAGAAGTTGTGCACCTGTGAGATGATCAGATTCACTCACAGTGCGCTGGGTGAAGAAGTGGCTGAAGGGCAGGGCTCACAGGGCTCTAGAGAAGCCCCATCTGGCTGCCATGCAGCCACCAGTGCTGTCCCTCAGGGCTCAGTTCTAGGGCCTGTTCTGTCCAATATTTTTATCAACGATCTGAATGAATGATGTGAAGGCACCATGAGCAAGTTTGCTGGTGATCCCAAACTGAGAGGTGCTGTTCACTCTCCTGGGAAACCAGGTGCCTTCCAGAGGGATCTAGATAGCTGGAACATTGGGCAGTGATTAATGGGATGAAATTAAGCAAGTCTAAATGCTGTATCCTGCACCTGGGACAGAGTAACACTGGGCTCAAGTATAAATGGGAAGAGCATGCAGAAAGGGAGGTGTGGATCTCTTCCTCCTCAGATCCAGAGACAGGACATGGGAATGGTTCAAAACTGCTCCAGGAGGAGTTTAGACTGAACATTAAAAAAACCATCTTTTTTTTTTACTGAGAGAGCTGTCAAACACTGGAATAGGATTCCTAGTGAGGTGGTTGATGCCCCAAGCCTGTACTGTTTAAGAAGTATCTGGACAATGCCCTCAATAACCTGCTTTAACTTTTGGTCAGCTCTGAGTTGCTCAGGTAGCTGAATTTGATGATTGTTGTAGGCCCCTTCCAACAGAAAGAATCTATTCTGTTCCTACCTCTACTTTGTGGGTAAAGTCAGTCTTTCCTCTGCTGTATTTGTGTACTTCTGAGAGCTGCTTTTAGCTTGTATCTCTGACCTCCTTTGTTATGTCAAAGCTAAAGGACAGGAAAACTACAGAACCATGCTAGAAGTGTGGGAATTACTGAAATTGAAAATACCATTGTTTTGCTGGGAATGCTTTTAATCCCTTTTTGTAATTCCCATCAGGTTTTAGAAAAAGATCACATCATTTCAGGAGTCTGTATTGCAGATACAGAAATTAAAAAGTTCATGTACATGTGCTTGAGTAGTCACAGGTGGCTGTCCCAGACAACTGCCTGGGGATAGAAAATATAAATCCTCTTTTTGGGGTGGAACAAAGTTCTCATTTTTAAGGATTTGGAGTGGATTGATTCACTAGAGTAATTGTGAGAGAGTAAATTCAACTGTTTTTGCAGTTTGGGTAATTTTCACTTACAATACCCTTATTTTCCAAAGCCATGTTTTCAGTATTATACCAGGGATAATATATTTTCGATATTGTACCAGCACTTTTGTGGAAAGTGCAGATCTAATTTGCTAAGGTGAACTATTTACAACAATGTGAGCTACTTGCTATTGATTTGAGCATGAGCATAAGAAGGTGCTTGCCAGCAAGCAAGCAAATTTTCCTGTTCAACTAAATTGGTTTTTAGTGGTCTGGCTTGAATCACATCTGAAAGCCAACTGATTGCCTGGCTTTCTGTGTTGTTCCATGCACCATTCACTAGGGAGGGCAAGAATACATAATTTGAGTATCTTCTGGGGTTGTGCCATATCGTATGATGTATGAAATATCATATCTATCATGCATCATATACCACAGTGCTTGGGGGAATTGGAATAAATGTTATTCCAGTCTTCATGGAAAGTTAATGCAACATTTTGGCTCATGTTTGTGGCAACAGAACTTGTTCCAGGGGAGGAGAAAAGGCAGTGGATGTTATGGCAAACCCATATAGAAATATGTATTTGCCATTCACGTGTATTTAATACAAGTGGGGTTTGACGTCTGTCCTCCAGCTGAGCTCAGCACTTGTAAGTGGAGTGAAGCAATACAAGTCCAGGTGCCACTAAGTAATGCATGGTATGCATGTGATGGACTGTGTGCTGGGAGCTTCACAGGCAAGCAGGAAGGTGTTCTTTCCCCCAGAAAATTATTTGCAGACAAAGCATAATGAGAAAAGGAAGCCTGGAGCTTGCTGTAGCTGGATTACAAGAGAAAAGCTTCCTGTGCTTAATCTTGTCCCCAGTTAAGTAGGAGGGGGCCGTACAGAAGCACAAATCTTGCTAGCCTGCAGGTAGAAAGAGGAGGAGGGGGCTGTGGGGCCCCAGGCAGGTGTTTGCTGCAGCAGGTTCTCCCTACTGATGTCCCATGCCTTGTGTTTCCTTCCCAGCGCTTGTTGTGGCTGTGCTGCGCTTCATCCAGCTGAAGCCCAAGGTGCTCACCCCGTGGCTGAACATCAGTGGCTTGGTGGCTCTGTGCTTGGCCTCTTTTGGGATGACCCTGCTCGGCAACTTTCAGGTATTGCTCTGCAGGCTTGGACTGCTCTGTCTGTGATGTGACTGCCCTGCTTTCCTAGCGGCTCTGCTCGGGTCTTTGAGCCAGCTGTGATGTGAGCCTGGGAAAAGCACATGCCCCAGCCTGTGGCATTCATGTTCTCTGAAAAAATCCCTTCGCCCAGGATTTTTCTCCTGGGAAGCTGAGAAGCCTCAGAGAAAAAGGGAAACAATTCTTATCTCATTTGCTTCTCCTGTGTTGTGCTCCTTTGGGATGTGCTTGCAGATTGTTTACCCACAGGTGATTGTTCCATTCAATTCTGGTGTGAGTTGTTTTGACTCTTTGGCCAATCAGTGCCAAGTTGTGTCGGGACTCTGGAAAGAGTCACAAGTTTTCATTATTATCCTTTTAGCATCCAGTAAGTATCTTTTCTGTATTCTTTACTATACTATACTATACTATACTAAATATAGTGTATTATATATAATATAGTATTATAAAGTAATATAATATAGTATTATAATCAGTTAGCCTTCTGAGAACACGGAGTGAGATGCATAGTTCCTGCCTTCATCAGGGCAGTTCCCAGCTAATACAATACCAGCCCTCCCTTTACCTCTGCTCTGCCACCTCTGTCTGCCACTTGTGAGCTGAGATGAAGGGCCACAATCACTTTTCACGTGTCTCCAGCAGGGTTTGCACCTGCATGCTTAGACCTGACCTGCTGAGAGCCTCAGCAGGAGCCTCCTGAATCTCTTGAGCCCTGCGAGTCGGCACAGATGGCCCTGGGTGAAAGGGCTGAGCGGGAAGTTTGCGGACACATCTGTGCAAACAGATGCACAAATGCCTGTACAAATTTAGCAGACAGCTCAATGTCCTTCTTTTAAAACATATGTTGCTTTAAATCCACCTCCTGCTGATCCTCAGATCTGCCAGGAGAGGGACACAGCAGAGGACTGCCAGGACTTCTCTGGATGTGGTGGGTGTGTGAGTGAGGGCCCTCCATTCCCCCTCTGTCCTATAGCAACAAACATCTGCCACATCTGTAGGGGTGGGTGTCCCCTGTGATCACCATTGTGTCTGTCAGGGCTGCATGAAAATCGAGGTGTTAGAGTCAGAGGGGCTTGGGTTTGACTCCGAGGCTCTGTCTCTCACTGGGGTGCACATAATGACCCCCAATAATCAGGCAGGAGCTGAGAAAGGCCAGTGCAGGCTGGCTGCTTCCCAATACAGAAATGGTACTTGTTTTGTGAAGGGTGAGGAGGATCTCTTTGGATTGTACAGGTATTGAAGGAACTTGGTGTCCTTTACAGTTAACTTTTGTTTTTCTTTTTTGAATGAGTTGTGAGATAATTTGACTTTTATGAACTTGGTCTTCCTAACTCCACAGCACAAGCCCAAAACCCAGGGTCTTGTTTTTTCACAAGAGCTTTTCAGCTAGGAATTATGAAGCCTTTGTAACAGCTTGTCTACCTCTGAGAAGAGTATTTCTAGTACAGGCACTAGGAAATTGTTTCAACTTCACTTTCCATTTTTCAGTCTTCAGAGCAAATAATTGTAATTTAACAGTAGATACTTTGAATCTTGCCTGGCTATAAATTCTGATTATTCTGATGTCTGAATTCTAACTATCCATTCCATGTTAGTTACTTAGACCTTTTGCCAAACATGAAAACATGCTGCAATGAGACCTTAATCTATGCCTCTCCCTGCCTGACTGCTCAGCCAAATGTGGCATTAAATCATATTTCTGGAAAATTATACATTGGGTGTTTCAGAGGGACGTTATAGCTGTGAGTCCCTTGCAGTGCTGAGTATCTTGGGAAAGGCAGCTCAATCCCATTTTTGCCTGAATGATTATTTGTACCTACTCTTGAAAGAAATTCAGGGTAGAGAAGAGGGGAGATATCAGAGGAGGCACAGCAGATAGATTGCTGTCCTGTAGATTGTGTCTTGTTTGATGGGTATTTGTTAAATCATCAAACAGGAATTAAGGCTGCAGGGAGAAGTTACAGACTGGTGGTTTCTTTTCTAGAAAAGCCGCAGAGGGAAAATGGAAATTGTTTGGCTTAAGTCCATGCTGGACTTTTTGAATGGAACTACAGCCTCAAGGAATATTTTTGCAGATTCTTGCTAGTTGAAGCTGGCTGTCATTTTGCCTTGCAGTGTTGCACAGTCAGAGCCCTGTGGGACAGGGCAGCCCAAGGAACAGGGAAACACTGGCACTCCAGAGAGGTTGGGTTCATGTTGCCTCAGACCCCAGTGGCCCAGGATTTGGTGTCACTTGCCAAACCAGGATGGGCAGAAGAGGAAATTGGAGGAACTTGCCAAACCAGGAGCGTGGATTTGTGTTTTGGCTTGTGCTAGCTCGGGGAAGTGCCAGGGCTGGCACTGGAGGTGCACAATTTGCATCCATTGCAGGGAGCTGTACAAGACCCACAGTGAGTTGTCCTTGCCTGCCCTGGCCATCACTTGGAGCCAAGGAAGAATTTATTTCTGAGCTCTGCATTTGTGAGTCTTGTCAGGGAGCCGTGGAGACAGTCCCCAAGCAACTGCATTTTCCAGGGTGCTCTTGGGCTTTGGGCAAAAGATCTGCTTGACTGTGACAGTTGTCAACTCACCTTGGTTATGTTGCACCTTACCCCTCTGCCAGAAGAAATGATACATCATCTCAATCCTGTTAGCTCTCAGATAATTCCTGTTGTGTCCAGGCAATCACTGCTTTATTTGTTGCTAGCTCTCCAATGATGAGGAGATCCACAACGTGGGCACATCTCTGACCTTTGGCTTTGGGACACTGGCATGCTGGATCCAGTCTGCCCTCACCCTCAAGATCAACCTGAAGAATGAGGGGCGGAAAGCTGGGATTCCACGGGTGGCTCTGTCAGCCAGCATCACCCTCTGCGTGGTGCTCTGTATCCTTTTGCTCCCCAGGAGGCCAGGTATTGTGTCTGTGCTGCAGCAGCTCTTCTCACACCTGTCCTAGGATCTCAAAACATTTTGGAATGCTAAGCAGTCTGGCTTCATGGCACAATCCACTGTGTAGAGTGATGCTTCCAGATTTCACAGAAAGGGACAGTTTTGCAGGTGATCTAAATAGAAGGAAGTATTTCAAAGTGTGTATTGAAAGGTGTTCCCATTGCCTGTGGTGGGTGCAGTGATCTGATCCAGTTCCCACTGGGAAGCTCCTGGCAGGTAGGGGCCCCCAGCCAGGTCCCCACTTGCTGGCTCTGTCCCTGGCTAGCTGGATGCTCAAGCAAATCACTGACTTCCCCTCTGTAAATGTTTATCACCCTGATGTGGGATCAGGAAGCCCTGGTCTGTATAGGAGAGCTGCTGTGCTCCATGGGCATCATTGGACACCTGACATCCCTTTCATCTCTAGCATCACATTCACACTCTCCTCATGATGGCTGGATGGGTGGGCTTATCCAGGTGACTTTGCTCAGATTTTTTTCCCTGTTGGCTTTCAAACTGTTTGATGTCTCTGCTCCCACTTGTTCTCCTTGACTTCCCTCTTCCAGATTTCATCCTTATGGCCCAGGGCATTCACATGTATGCTTCCAGGATCCAGTGGGGCCTAGTGATGTGCTTCCTGTGCTACTTTGGCACCTTTGCAGTGGAGTTCAGGCATTACAGATTTGAGATAATTTGTTCTGAGTACCAGGAAAACTTTCTGAGCTTTTCTGAAAGCTTATCAGAAGCCTCTGAGTACCAGACAGATCAGGTGTAGCCTGTCCTCTGGCAGGGGGGGAGGGGGGCAGGTGGGGTCTCATGGGTGAAACATGACCTCATTTACACTTTTTTTATGAGTTTCTTTCCATGTGCAATCATGATGGCATTGCCAAAGGGCTCTGAGGGTGGCTGTTTCACTAAGAGCCAAACAAACAGAGGTGTCTGCTGCAAGAGGAGTGGATCCATCTCAATGGCAGCGTGAGAGTGCACAAGCTGCTCAGTTTGTGACTCTTTCTGAGTGGCTCTGTCACACTCCTGTTGCTCAAAACATTCAGCAGCCCCTCTGAGGCTGGTCCTGCTCAGCCCACCCTGCAGAGAAGGAACTGAAGGAAGCAGACTTCTAACAGCCAGAGTCTTCAGGAGCCACCTGTTCCTGAGTGTGTTTCCCGGCTTGTTTTCTGTGCTGCCAGCCGGGGGAGCTTGGGAGGGGGAGCAGCCCCAGCTGTTTCTCCAGAACCTGGAATCAGACACAGAAGACCCCAGTGGACTGGTTTTTATGGCAGGCAGGCAAAGCAGCCAACGGTAAATCTGGGTTTGGGAGGAGCTGTGCTGTGATCAGGAAGTGAGACTTGGCTGGTGCTGCCTTGTGGCCAGGCAGATCATCCCCAGGCCAGAGGGGTGACACTGGGATGCTGAGCTTGCCTTCCTGGTGGGCACTGCTGGCAGTGAGGTGCTGAATTGAGAGGAGAATCTCTGTGTGCCCTGAAGACAACCCAGAAGAAGCTGCTTCTTCCATGTGTAGTGCTTCCACCACACATTGTGTATAGTATTTCAAAAGCTTTTTAAATTTTTTTTTTTTTTATGTTCACTGAGGGGGAAAACATTCTGTTAGAGATACCAGGCTCATCTGCCATAAGAACAGTACCAGTGCTTCTGGGCACAGGGTTTGGTTTTGCTCCTTGTGCAAGCCAAACTTCAGATATGCTAGTTTGGGGTTTGGGCTCTGGTCCCCTCAGTGTGGCCAGCTGTCCTGAGTGGAGCCTGCTGCAGGTTTCAATGGGTTTCCAGGGTGCCAGGAGGGAGATCTGGCACAGAGGCTGGCTGATCTGCCTGAGGGCTGGAGGTACAAGAAGGGAACAGCAAAACCAGAAGGGCTTCTCCCTCCCTAAAGGGAGGTTTTCGAACAGAAGGTCTGTTTTCAAAGGAGCTCAAAACCTGATTTTGGGAAGGCTTTTGGGTAGAGGAGTGATGGGAGTTGCTTCTCCCCATGGCTCCTATTTTCCTCCACAAATCAGGCTCAGCTTGGGTTTACATCTTGTCTGAGCTGCAGGAAAACAAGCAGAAATTAAAATGGTAGGAAAAGGCACTTGAAGGGGAACTCGTACTGTTCTGTGGCATTTCTGACAGAGGGAAAAGGCAAAAGGGCATTCAGTCTTCCGCAAAGGTCACAGGCCTCTCCTGAGAGGAGAAACAGTTGAGCCAAACTGTGTGCTAAGTTGAAAGCTTTCAGCCAGCCCTTTCTTTTCTGTGCACCAAAACTTGTTCTCAGGCAGCTGTTACAAACCCAGAGGATTTCTGGCCAACAGAGGGTTGTTGTGGATTGCTGAAGGCTTCCTCCTTGTAGCAGTGTCATGAGTGGAAGGCTTTCCCAGGAGGATGTGCTGAGAGTGGCCAAGGACACAGCAGTGTGAGATGCCAGCTCCCATGGGGCTCATCCAGGGAGCTCCTCCTGGGCAAGGAAGGAGGGGACAGTCTGGAGAACATGCAGGTGGGATCCTCTTGCACTGGCACACACTCAATCCATATGGAGCACAAAATAGCAATTTGTCGTAAAGGTGTTTTACTGTAAATAGTCCACTGTGTCTTTTTTTCCCTGATTAATTAATACTTTCAGTTTTTTATTTTAGCTTTTGTAATTTTATCAAAGAAAAAAAAAATGTGGTTATTTTCTTTCCTTTTGCTCCTTTTCCTATATGCAATCCAAACTGAATTTCAGGTTTTTAGTGATAATTCTGTACATTTCTTAGAGTATTTCTAACAGCACATTTCAGTACAACTAAATGACAACCAATGTACACTAAAACATGACCACTAAATAAAGTGCTTTTATGGAGAAAGTGAGCTTTATTTTTGTCCCTACCCCAAGCATAGCTTTCTGATGGCAAAGGCAAAACAAAAGGTGAGTATTTATTTACAGTGTAATGATTAACATTATCACTTAAGGAAGCCAGGGACCATTCAGCCATGCAGATACACTTACTGTAACAGCACTAATTAGCAGGCTCTTTCTAGGAGCAGCATCACACCCACTGCACAGCCCAGAAAGGCATCTGGACTAGCTGCCCCACAGCCTGACCTGCTACTATTAAATTCTTAGAAGGGCCATGCTGGCACAGTTTGGTTCCCCCCCCCAAGTGCTTGTCTCTTCATTGTTCTTTACCCATCAGCCTCCCTCAACAGGGACAGTGTAGGTATAAATCAGAGCTCAGGAAGGCAGCAAGCACATCCTCTATTCTGGCTGGCTGTGAGGGCAAACACCCGTGCATGAAGTGCCAGCAGCAGGGAATGGGGAAACAGGATTTCAGACAGGAGTTCCAGACTGCTCTGACTCCACTGCTGCCAGGTATAACCTACGTGTGGCTCTCACTCCTGCACTGAGCCACAACTGAAATCCTAACATGGTCAGGGAGGTAGTACAGCTTCCTTGGCAGGACAAGGCTGCTGCCTTAAAGAAAGGACTGGGGAAAGTGACAGCAGGAACACAGTGTTCACAGGTTTAGAAATAAAATAATAAAATTTGCTTTTTAGGTGCTGGGATCACTGGTGCTAAGACAGGAAGGCTAAATGCTGTGATGGAGTGAACACAATGAAAGCAAAGGTGTGTTTTTATTTACTACATTAGGAAAAGCTCCATGACCATCTGATCTACATTGGCACAAATTAGGTAAGGTGAAAAGGTCAGGGGTTTAATTCTCATCAATTGCAGCAGGATGTCTGCCCTCAGGAGCAGTTTGTCAAGGTCTGCTCACAGCTGACCAGTGCTATGAATGTGTGACTGGGTGATCTTGGCTGGAGGAGGAGCTCTGTGGGTCAGTGCTGAGATACTTCAGAAATGCTGTCAAGCTCACTTTGGGCTTCAGACAGTTGTATCCCATAGCCCAGCACCATGAAGCAGCAGTGAAATGTGTTCAGAATTTAATTTTTAAAGCTGTATTTATATATACTTGACTTCATTCTAGGTAGGCTGGCTATGGAGCTCTAAGCAGCCTCCATATACAAGTTGTGCTGTTTTGTACCTAGAGGTGCTGCAGACACACCCAAGGTACACATTATTCCTTGTCTGAAGAGCCTGCCTGCAGCAAGGGCTGGCTTCTTCTGTGGGAGCCTACTGTACTATAGCCCACAGCTGGCATTTCCCTTTGGGAATCCTAACTGTGAATGTTTTTGACTTAGCAGAAATCCTGTCTGCAGGGAGAAGCTCACATATCCCCCCATGGTCCCTAGTGCTCCCTCTGGGGCAAGGGGACAGGAACCTTGTTTGCAGACTGCTTCTAACAATGACAGAGCTCACGGTGGGGAATCTCAGCACCAGCTTTCAGGGGATGAGTCTGGAGGAAGCATTCCCTTAGCTAACTGCTAGCCAGGAAAGGGGAGGAACAGCAGGGCTCATGGGTGCTGCTCCCTGCCCTGTTCCCAGCTCCAGCTGGCAGCAGGCCTCTGTCCTACTGCACCAGGGACCCCACGCCATACTCTCCATCCATACCTGCCTGCACGAGGCCCAAGACATAATGTGGATTTGGTTTGAAATTCTGATTATGGACAAAATGACCTAACATTTCACAAGGACAATTAGGTGAAGCACAGTCTTTTGTGCGCGCACCGCTTTCCCTAAGTGGAGGAAGGCAAGAACAGTTCGGTGAAAGAGGAGATGAGGCTGTAATAGGATTTCTCATCGTCCGTCAGTCCCGCGTTGCCCGGTCTGATCACCACAGCCACGTGAGTGTCCGCCTCCTCGGCTGCATTGGCTTCTGAAACAGACAGAGAGGGGACAGTGGAGGGGACAGCCCTTACTGACCTCTTCACTGCAGGGTCCCTGAGGCTTGAGGGTGCCCCAGAACACCTGAGTGCTTTTGAAGGCTGAGACTGAGAAAGCAGCATTTGCACACGGCAGGGCTCTAGAGAGGAACCAGCTCCCGGCAGACCTGCTGTGGATGGCTGCAGCTGCAGGAATGGAGCTGGCTGCCTCACCATCCCCTCCCCTCTGCCAGCTGATGGCTCTCCAAGGCTCCTTGCAGGCAGCACACACCATCAGCCCCATTCCTGCTCCATCAGCTCGATTCCTGTCATGAGGCTGTGGCCAGCCTGTGGCATTTGTGAGTCAACAGCCCCCTCCCCCAGTCACTTCTCACAAGCTTCTTTTTGCTCCCTGAGCACAAAAGGCCACTGGAAGATGATCCAGGGAAAAGGAGGTAACCACAGGCTCCCACCAGCTCTGTTGCCAAGGCTGGGAAGGAGGTAAGGACTAACTCTGGGGGACTGAGCTGGCTCAGACTGAGACCCAGTGCTATTTCTGCCAGAAAGATGTTTCCAGCTAAAGCAGGAAATTAAATTAGCTTCTCAAGCCTGGATTTCCATGGGTCAAGTCTTGGCAACCTGAAGCAATGTTTTCCTGCTGCTGAACACAACCTAACCATAAAGTGGCACAAAGAATCAGCCACGTAGCAACACAGCAAACACCACCCTTTCCCCTGAGCCCTGGCCAAACCACTGACCCTGTTTGTAAATGGGCTGTGCCTCAGCACTCTCTCCTGCCTGGCTGGTGCAAAGGCAGGCTTTCTACTTGACCTATTTTCCCTCATTGCAGCGCTGCACATGGACATCCCACTGCTGTGTGCAAGCCTGGGTGTGTAAAGAAGGAGGATGGCAGCAGCTAGAGGGAAGGTGCTGAAGCATTTCTGGGTGCTTGTGAGAAGGCAGCAGCAGCACACCTCTGAAGAGCACCCACCTCCCCTGCACAGGTGAGAGGCAGCAGCACTGGCAGGTCACATACCTCGAGGGACATCTGTCAGGAAGAGGATGTTGTTGGTGGCACACCCAATACTGGCAGCAATCCTCCTGTAGCTCTCACTTTCTACCTTGGGGCCTATTTTGGTATCAAAGTGGCCATCAAAGAGCTGAAAGAGAGAGAGAAGCACAGGCCATTGCTGAGTGCCATCTGAAGAGCAGGGATGAATTTCCCTCCCCCCCTTTCTGCCATAGTAATGAGGGGTTGGTGCAGCCATGCTCTCACAGTCAACTCCTTGAGCTGAATTCCCATGGATCAAACCCACTGCCCCACCTTCCTGTCACAGAATTCATTCACAAAGTGTTACAGCAAGGCTGGTTGTGGGAAGGGAGTGCTCTGCAGGGGGAGAAGCTGTAAGGAAGGTGGTAAGGTTATCTACCTCTAGGATATCACCTTCTGTAGAGTATCCAAACAGAAGCTTCTGGGCTTCAACGCTGCCTGAGGAGTAGATATAGACCTTCATCCCTGCTTCCCGCCACTTCCGGATGGCTGGAACAACGTCCTCGAAGATTCTGGAGCAAAACAGGGCAGCAGGTAAGGGCAAACCCAGAGGCACCTGGGGGGACATCATTAGGCAGGCACTGTGACAATTTGTTTTGTCCTATTAGTTTGCAAAGGGACTTCATTTTCAATCTGCCCAGGGCTCCTGGAACCAGGTCTCTTCCAGCATCAGGTGATGCAGAGCTGGGCAAGGAGATTTTAGAGATCTCACTCCTTGAATGCAGCCAAGAAGGCAGCTTTCCCCACAGTTTTTGGGTCACTGTAAGACAATTTAGCCTTGTTTTTAAAAACAAAACCAACAGGATATGAGTCTCTCTTGATTTGGTTTTGGATGTTTACATTTCTCTGTCAGCTCACCTCATTTGGCAAAACTTAGTGAATTTATGGGCTTGTTTTACTTAGAGACCTGAAATGCACAGTTTAACAAAGTATCTCTTAAATAAGAAGATCAGGCTTAATTTCAGTTGTCCCTACTTATGCATTCCTGTGTTGTGGCTGAAACAAAGAGGAACCTGAAGACAAAAATAAGTGGAAAGGCAGGAAACACACAGGTAAAAGACAAAGCAGAAGGAAACAACTGAAAGGGTCTGACCCTGCAACCCTGGCTTGTTTATACTTGTTCCAAAATATGTGTGCAATTTGGGGATAAAGAATGCAAGACTAAGAAATGTAAGAAGCTCATACTTGTTACCCTTGGTTTACCAAGAAATCTCTCAAATATGGACTTATCTGCTGAGCTAGTGATGCTACTTGTATTTGTAAGTGGGGCTGTTCCCAGGAATAGCTTATGCAGCTCTTCTGCTAATAAACCTTAGGGAAGCTGCCCCCCAGAGCTGCCCCCAGGAGGGGGCACACAACTACTCACACAATTACTCACTCTCCTTTGACGTGCCCGGTGGCATAGGCTGCCCTCCACATGTGGCCCTGCAGCTGCTTCAGTGCCGTGGTTTTCCTGTCCAGGGACATCTGCCAGTGCACGTTGTCCACCACGGCCTGGATGACGCGCTCCAGCTCCTCCTCCCCGCTGCCGCTCTCCAAAGGGATGGGCACGGCCCCGTCCAGGCTGGAGTCCTCCTGAGCCTGCACAGTGGTGTCAGAGCACAGTGCTGACAGTGCCAAGGCTGTGGGGCTGACCCCTGCACAGGCTGTTCACTAAACAGCTGGGCTTCTGATCCCTGCAGGTCCCCTCCAACTCAGACTATTCTGTGATTCTGTGTAATCATCCATGATAGAAAGAGGGCAGGGAAGAGGTGGAGCCATTTCCACACCTCTAATGTAGGAAAGTGATCTAACAGATCTAACATCTGCATCTATGCACTGCTGTACAGGACACTGCTCGAACTGCACTTCACAGAGGGGGTTACAACATTGCCTGCTTTTCTCAATGAAAAATTTAAACTCCAGTTGTGTTTAGAAATACTTGCTTGGACTGTACTTTCCAAACCAACCAATTAGCATTACTGTAGCCGTATTGTAAATACTCTAATGAGAACTATGCTTATTTAAGTATTTAATTACTATAATTAAGGCAAAGAAGCAAATGCATCTGTT